TTTCGGCCTCGACGTGCCACCCGCACTGCTGCGGTCTTGGTCGCCACCGTCGACTCCCTCGCTGACGCCGCCTTCGTTGCGCACCGGTCGAGGAGAAGCAGGTCGGGATAGGTGTTCCGCTGCCGATTGTGCACGGATCCCCAGCTGAACCACCTCCAATGAGAGGGTTGGCCCGAACTCGCCAGCTTTGTAATGTCTCCTCGCATCAGCCATCCATGCCTCTAGCGTATCCTCTACCACCGCGGGCTCTCCCGTGGTAGGAAACATGGCTTGCATGGGCTGCCGGCCTACAACGAATTAGATAAGGCGCACCTATGTCTACTATTCTGAAGGTAAGTTGCTGGACCGTCTACGCTCACCTCACCATGCGAAGATGAACTCTACAATGGTAGCTAGATTATGGGGGGAGGCACGCTGTGAGAGTGATCGTAGCGTTCATTGCGTGTTTTCTCGTGTTCTCTCTACGCACACATTCACTGGGAGAATCGGCAAGAGTTTCACTAGCAAAAGTTCAGAACAATGGTAGCAACGAAGTTGGCAAAGCTGACTATATCAAAAGCAGACCTCCAGCGCAGCATGGTGGACCGCGTTCCAACACTGGAAAGTCCGCACCTCTCCAGCAATGCAAAAAGGCGGCTTGCCAACATTGCAAGTCGATGGCGTGCCAGCACTGCAACAAGGCGGCTGCACAACGTTGCACTCGCATGACAGCAGCGCAGCCGCCTCGCAGGTGCTTGTAGTTGATTGGCATGCTGTGCACCGTTACGTGCACAACGCAGACGCCAAGCCGACCACGTGCCACTTGCTGCGTTTGATCAGCCCCGTTGACCTCGGTATACCACCTCCAAGGTCGGCTTCGCCAGAATCACCTGGGCGAGTGTCGCGCACCTTCGCAGAACCCTGTCGTCCGGGTAACTTGGTCGACCCGGCAACCACATCGACCAAGTACTGCTCCTCGTGCCCATCGTCTGCCTAGATCGACGACCACCCTCTGCCGACTTCACGAAGTCGGCCACCCTATCGAGTCGACCACCTTTGGTCGACCAAGCCTGCTGGTTGCCTACTGCATCTAGCCGGCTTCCTCATGCCGACGCCATGAAGTCGGTGCCCTGCCAGATCGACGCCACCAAGTCAACCTCCCGAGTTTGGCGCCCTCCAAGTCGGCGCCCTTCCCAGGACGACGATCCCTGTGGTCGATCTCTAGTCAAAGCCGGCTGCCGGGGCCGCCGGCTCCCCGTCGTCGGCAGCTTCACAGTGGCCCTGTGCAGGTCGCCCACTGCAAGCTGTCGGATGCACCACCCACGCAACCGACCACGAAGTCGGCTCCGCCTAAGCGAGGACGGGGCCAACTTCCAACTCCCGTTGACATGGTCAACCTTAGCAAGGCTGAAAATTTTGGGCCTTGAGCTTTGACGAAATGGCAGGGCTAGTCGAAACTAAGAGCGGAACAAAATGTATTGTATATCGAACTCCCGGAATACGTATATATATAAATATACGCCTTTGTTTGTACTGATGGTGCAAAGGAACTCTAGAAGGAGCGAGATTCAGGGTCTATGTTGGTTCAATCTCTGGGGTTATTTTACGGGCAATCCTAGAAACATTGAAACTTATCACGCAACAGCACTGTTCTATAATAAATCGCCACTTGTTCCGCCAAATCTATTACAGATCGTCATTCGGGTATCACCCCTCGTCACCCGCTACCAGAAAATTTTATCACGCATAATCACAATTGATACTTGCCCATCAATGTTGAAATTTGTCACCATTTCACACTGACATATTGTACTGATCACGTAACTGTGTCTCTGATTTTATGGGTTTGTCATGTATGTACAAACCTTTGGAAGCGACACTACAAGGTTGTATTGCGACTGATGTAATAAGCATTAATCTAGATAAAAAACATTTGTGTGTGCATAGATGTAGTGCTCGTGTTTGCTCATCTTGTCAGAATGTTGTATTTGTCTAGCCTGCAGTGGGGTACTCTATAGCGAGTACAGCCCAATCTAGGGTTTCCTATATGTACTCAACTGCTTGCTAGTGAACCCCCTCCTTTCTTCATTCTTACTTTCTACTGCTAGTTCTGACATGCTATCAGAGCAGGTCGATCCCCTTGGGTCGATCCTGTGGGTGGGCCCACCACCTCACTGCTTCCGCTGCTACTGCTACTCTGTGTGTTGCACGCCCCGTGGCGTGCGACGGATTTTTCATCCCGCCGCGCGCTCGGAGCGTGTGGCGGTTTTCTGCCCGCCGTGCGCCCCGAGGCGCGCGGCGGTTTTCTGCCCGCCGTGCGCCCCGAGGCGCGCGGCGGCTTTCTGCCCCGTCACTCCGCGCGTCGCTCCCGGGAGGCGCTGCGACGGGCGACGGGGACCCGCGCGTCGCCCCCCGTCGCCCGTCGCGGCCTGCGCGACCTGCGTAGGGCCCGCGCGCGGCCCGTACAGCCTGCGCGCGGCCCGTACGGGCTGCGCCAGGCCCGCGCGCGGCCCGTACGGACTGCGCCAGGCCAGGGCGCGCCTCGGGCCGCCCGCACGCGGTTCGTACGGGGCTGCGCCAGGCCCGTGGGCGCCCTGTTTTCTCTGCCCCTGCGCTGCCCGCTGTCCCCCGTGCTTCTGACGGCGCCCCACCCCTGCTGCTGCCCGTTCTCCTGAATTAGGGTTTGGGGGTGGGGGGTATGGGGGTGCAGTTTCTGTGCGTCGTCCCCTGCTCCTCCTCCTCCTCCATCTCCCAGTGCTGCAGCTGCTGCTGAGGGGGGTGGGTGTGTGGGAGCCGAAGGAGTGGTACTAGGGGGGTGACGTGCAAGTGGAGTTAGGAGTGAAGCAGTGGGTGTGTGGGGGGTGTGTGGGACAGTTGGAGGAGGTTGAGCGGAGGCTGCTGTCTTGTCGTCCGCAGCACCTGTAGTCCGGGGCGCACTGTCCTGGTAGCCCAGAGAGTCTGCTGCGCCTGTCGCCCGAGGGTCCGTTGCTCCTGTAGCTCGTCGTAGCCCGTGAGCCAGTTACTCCAATAGTCCGGGGCGCACTGTCCCGGTAGCCACTGTGCCAGCAGCTCCTGTTGCCCGTGTGTCTGCAGCTTCAGCCGCCGTCTCTCATCTTCTCTCCTCTCACAGTCCCTCCTCCTCCTCACTTGCCCGCTGTGATTACCTCTAGCTTTGCTTCTTATTGTGACCTCCTGCTATACCTGCTCATTGTGCTGATTACACCCCACTTTGGCTATGGGGGTGTGTCAGAATGTTGTATTTGTCTAGCCTGCAGTGGGGTACTCTATAGCGAGTACAGCCCAATCTAGGGTTTCCTATATGTACTCAACTGCTTGCTAGTGAACCCCCTCCTTTCTTCATTCTTACTTTCTACTGCTAGTTCTGACACATCTAGATATATATATGTATCTATACGTTGATGTCATTCCGTCGCAGTCCCCTCTGGCTCCCTCATAGGTCTGTACCTTTCACCTTGACTTGATACGCTATGCTTGCCAAGGATATCATCATAATCAATATATTTGTATGCAGCTTATATCATTATCATATTTTTTTTAGAGCATGATCTGGTACGCAAAACAAGTGCAGGTATATTGAGTTATAATAGATGATAATGTTAAGCTCGAAATCGATGATGATGCATATTTCAACCATGGCGGAAAACCATCCATAGTGTCTTGGTTTAAAATATGATTCTTTGCTGGTTTTTTTATATGTACACTATGGAAAGCGTACATTTACAGTTGTAACTATAGGTTGCTTTGTTGTGTTTTTATTTCAAGTTATTATTTGCAAATGTGAAGAAATGCTTATAATATATATATATATATATATAACCGTGGAAAACATGGTGTGCGAACCGTGTTTTCATTGCTCTATATACAGAAACAACTGTAGTGCACTTCGCCGTGAAGCATTGGAATGTTTTGGCCAATTAAGATGTGCGCCCCGTCATGCTTGCTTCCACTCTGGCAAACAAGGGCTAATCAGAATCCGCCACAACGAATTTCTGTGCTCGTGTGCATGGTCCGCACGCGTTATGACGTGGACTGCCCCTGACTCCATTGCTGAGGGTGTTTGGTTGAAGTGCGGTTGTGGTTGAGGTTGACTCTGAAAATCGTGATAGGCTCCAGGTCACCCTAGATCCCTAAATCGGGTACCCGTCACTGCTTGTTCTAGACTTAACTAAATTCTTTTTGAGCAGCAAGGCTTGTTCAGGCTAAGCGTGAAACGAACAAACTACTGTGTTTAGGGTATGGAAAATTTGCGCCTTCACTTGTGCTGATGGTGCGACGGAACGTGTTGTGGACCCGAGATCCAGGGTCTGTGCTGGTTCAAGTTCCTGGAGTAGCGCTTCGTGTCAGCGCCGCCTTCCCTTCCCACCCTTTGGGGGAATTCGAGGCGCAATGGGGCTGTGGCATGCAGTTGCCTCGCCGCGCGCACGAGCCCGTTCTCAAACTTCTTCCGCGGAAACTCAACAACAGCGCGTAGTTGCGGAAAAAATTCGGGGGAAACTGGGCTGGTGGTGTGCGGTGAACCATCCTTTCTTTCGAGTCAATGGGGTGAATTGCGTTTGGGAGAGAATGGGGAAGGGGGAACACGGGAGATCTTCGACACCCTAGGTGGAGGTTGACGGTCGAAAAGGCAGGGGAAAACAAAAAACGAGCGCGTGGAAACGGAGTGCAAGGCAACAGCTGCCTCATTCCACAGACACGTGCTCCGTGTTTGCTTCACTTCCACACAGTTTCAAGAAAAGTTGGCAGTGAGACGAATTTATCACGTCTCTCCTTCAGATGTGTAGTGATACAGTACTTTCTTAGCTCAACTGATAGCTCTTGGGAAACCTGGCTTCGAAGTCTGACGCTTCCGCAAACATCAGCCTCAATATTTTTCGACTCTATTCACAGCCTGCCTAAGAATCCTCGTGGCGATGAGCTCGGACGGCGACGAGCGTGTCGCATGGGCCGCCATGCCGCCGGAGCTTCTGCGCGATGTGCTTTCGCGCGTCGTCGCGCCGGGCATGGACTGGCCGCACCGTCGGACTTTGGTGGCTTGCGCTGGCGTGTGCAATTCATGGCGGGAAATCACCAGGTGCGTGCCCGTGCACTGGCGGAAGTCACAATCCTGGACCTTTAAATCTGTTTCACCAGGTGGAGTAACAATTCGGTAAGTAACAGACGAAATTGACGGTCCTTCCTGCTGTAACAGACGAGATTAACAATTTGGTAAGTAACAGACCTTTCAATCTGTTTCACCAGGTGGAGTAACAATTCGGTAAGTAACGTTCAAGCAATCTGCTGGCTTTTTTTCCATCGGAAAGCCGTGCAACTCGTTGCGAACGTGGAAATCGAACATGCGGAGAAACCGTTACACAGAAACATATACCTTCATACATCACATTCACGGGCTTGAATCTATGACCACGCGTTTCGTCCCACCCCCGCAGCCTCCTCGCCGCGCCGCGCGTCGCGTCAAGTTCCTTCAGTAAAACTCGACTTTTGCTTGGCCTGCTTCTTTTTTTCCCCACGTTCGTGCTCCCCCACCCTACGTTCTCTCGCCGTCCCCGAACTTCTTCTCGCGCGAACCTCTGCGCTCCAGGCCCGCGAAAGCGCAGACTATCGGCGGAACCTGTTCGCGATGTCGTTTGATCGCTGCGCGCATTCTCACCTCCGCTGCTACTTTCATCCCCCGCTCCCCCGTTCTCCAGAGACTTCATACTGTCCGCTCCGCCCACCTCCGCGGACCCCGCGCACATCTTCTTCCCCGCGGACCTGCGCGCGCTGGGCCCGCGCGAGCGCACCGTCGAGTGCTTGATTCGGCGGAACCGCAAGACGGGCACGTTCTCGCTCTTCCTGGGGGTGTCGCCGAGCGCCGCGGCGGAGGCGGAGGGGGAGTCCACGGCGGGGAAATTCCTCATGGCGGCGCGCAAGTTTGGATGGCGGCCTTCCAGGTATGTCGAACTCTGGGCACGTGCTGTGGAGCCGCGTGTGACGGGAGTGCGCGTGACGGGAGCGCATGTGACGGGAGCGCGTATGATGGGAGCGCGTGTGCTGGGAGCACGTGTATTGCGAGCGCGTGTGTGACGGGAGCGCGTGTGACGGGAGCGCGTGTGTAACTCATGCATGAGAATGATGCCTGTCTTGCATCTGTCTCGGCCCCCTGACTCCTCGCCTGCTCTGCCCCTCTTCTCCCCTCTGCTCCCCTCTGCCCGCTTCTCTGTGCCTCCTCTCCCCTCGTTTTCCCCGCAGCACGGAGTACGTCATCTCGCTCGACCCGCACGACTTCTCTCGCCCCGACCACCCCACCGCCGCTGACTCCTCCCACTCCTCCCACTCACCCCACTCCGCTCGCACCTCAAGCGCCACACACGCCTCGCGAATTTCATGTCTCGGCAGCACCACCAGCGCGGTAGCAAGCAGCAGTGCTACCGACGGCAGCAGCGGCGGCGGAGGCAGCGGGGCGGCAGCGGGCAGCGGGGGCGCAGCGGGCAGCAGAGGCGCAGTGGGCAGCGGAGTGGCAGCGGGCAGCGCGTATCTGGGGCGGGTGCGCGCCAATTTCCTTGGCACGCGCTTCACCATCTTCGACGCGCGCCAGCAGGGCCCTTCCCCCCCCGCGCGCGCCCCCCCAGGCGTTGCCGCGCCCAGCAGCAGCAGCAAGGTGCACCCCAGCATGGGCGCGTTTGCGCCCGCCCCCGCGCTTTCCAAGGGGAAGGGCGCCGGGGGGAGAGGCGCGCGGGGCGGGCGGGATGAGGGCGCAGGGAGCAGTGAGGCTGTGGAGTCGCCAGCAGGAGCTGGGAATGGGAGAGGGTGCGGGAGGGGCAGCTGTGGAAGCAGCAGTGGCAGCTGTGGTTGCTGCTGCGTCTGCTCTCCCGATGGCTGTGCCTCTTCTGCTCGCCCTGCCTGCCCGTCCACTCTGCCCCTTCACCCGCCCTCCCCACACGCCACCCCATGCGCCCGTGGCGACTGTGCGTGTAGCCCCACGTCCGTCCTCTCGCCCCCCTCCTCCGCCCAATCACTGCCCGCCACCACGTCCGATAGTGCTGTGCCCCTTCCCCCCCTCGCCCTTCCGCCTTCTGCGCTCGCTCCGCCCGTCCACACGCCACCACACTCTTGTCCCCTTGTGCCCTCTGCGCCTCTTCCGCCCCCTGCGCCCCCTGCGCCCCTGCCCGTGGCGACGGTGTCGTACGCGCTCAACGTGCTGGGCACTCGCGGTCCGCGCCGCATTCAGGCTGTGCTGCACTGCGCGCCGAGCAGTGGGGGAGGACACGTGCCAGGCAGTGGGGGGGCTGCGGAGCAACGCGGGAGAGAAGAAGGGGCGGGGGATAAGGGCATGAGATGTGGGCGTGAGGGGTGGGGCAGAAGGGACGAGTGTGCATGTGATGAGGGTGTATGTGCATGCGGTGAAGGGGTATGTGTGTGTGATGGCTGCTCGAGGCATGATGGGGCAGGCGAGGTTCAAGGGGATGGCAGGGAGCAGAGCCACATGCCATGCTGCCACGTGTCCCATCGTCATTCGTTCAGCCAGGAGAGGCATGAAGGCGAGGGATGCGGGGAGGCGGCACGGGAGCCGATGGTGCTGAAGAATAAACCGCCCAGATGGCATGAGCAGCTGCAGGTGAGATGGTGCTCTGCAGGTGAGATGGTGGTGATGGCATGAGCAGCTGCAGGTGAGATGGTGGTGATGGCATGAGCAGCTGCAGGTGAGATGGTGGTGATGGCATGAGCAGCTGCAGGTGAGATGGGGATGAATCCATGATGGCACGAAACACATTTGTCTCCCCTGCTTTCCCCTTTTCTCCGCGCCTTCACACAATTTCCTCATGTGTCCCCCTACCCCTCCGAACCATCTCTCCTCCTCCCCTCGCCCACCAGTGCTGGTGTCTCAACTTCAGGGGGCGCGTGACAGTGGCGTCTGTCAAGAACTTCCAGCTCATTCACGCCACGCCGCACCAGCCCCACGCACCCTCGCCACTGCTTTCATCATGTGCCGCCCACTGCTCCTCCCTGTCGTCCTTGCCGCCTTCCCTGACTGTGCCGAAACACCCCGGGGGGTCATCGGAACCTGTAGGTGCTGCTGCCTCTGGCAGCGACAGTAGGAATGGCGGTGGGGCAAGCAGTAGCAGTGGCAGCAGCATTAGCAGCAGCAGCAGCAGCAGCGGCGGCGGCGGCAGCGGTGGCAGTGGCAGCAGCAATGGTAGCAGCAACGCCAACAGCACTATTAGCAGCAGGGGGGGTGAGGCAAGCAGCAGCAGTGGGGGAGGCAGGGCGCATGAGCTGGGGGCAACAGGCACGTGTGGGGCAGTGAGGGGCGGGAGGGACGTGGACCAGCCGGTATTACTGCAGTTTGGCAAGGTGGGCAGGGATGCCTTCACCATGGACTATCGCTACCCGCTCTCCGCCTTCCAGGTGAGCAGAACCTGAGTAACAATATCCAGGCGACTCTTGAGTCAGCTCAGATGTCACCTAGGGGAGGGAGGGACGTGCACCAGCCGGTGCTGCTGCGGTTTGGCAAGGTGGGCAGGGATGCCTTCACCATGGACTATCGCTACCAGCTCTCCTCCTTCCAGGTGTGTATGGGGAAGGGGAGTGATAATGATTAGACTTGCAGGTGAGCGGTTTGGCAAGGTGGGGAGGGATGCCTTCACCATGGATTATCGCTATCCGCTCTCCGCCTTCCAGGTGAGCAGCAAATGGCTTCTCAGGCTGGTGAGACAGGAGTGATGCTCGGTCGATTTAAACAGTTGTTGCTTGCACCATGCCACTTACCTCTTGCACCATGCCCCTAACCTCCTACACCATGCCGCTTACCTCTTGTGCTCATGTTTGTCGCCTTGCAGGCCTTTGCTATCTGCCTCAGCAGCTTCGACACCAAGGTGGCGTGCGAGTGAACATGCCCTAGCCGCATGCTTAGGAAGGGAGTTGTCGGAGAGAACACTGGCAGTGCCCTGTAGATCAATGTGTGCTACGAGGTTTGGTGGTGTAGGAGCATGAAAGCTTTTCCATGCTACTGGTAATTATCATTGATTGCACACATTGCGGTTGCACACATTGCGATTACCCTTTACCTAGCCTAAGGGGTGTGTCAGCTTAGACATACACTTTTGCATGTGTATATTACAGGCTAAAGTGGGTTTCTCTGTAGAGGGTGCATGTGGTGCATATCTCACTTGCATGCCCTCATTCCATAAGTTTCTTTTGTTGACACTCGAGCGGGCTGAACCCGAATCTCGTTGCCAGCATTGCATAATCCAGCTCGCAATATCGTGATTCTGCGCGCATGCATCGTTTCTCTATAAAATGTTTACTAGTGCCTTCGCTCAGTGCTGACATTGTCATTCTTAGCACTTGGAGTGAAATCCTAGCTGGGCTAGCACTGGTAATAGCTTTATAACATTCGATCATGCTTTTGCTCATGTTGTTCAATTGCTTCGATAGTGAAATTGTTCCTTCACTAAAAAGGAAGGAGTTACGGGTGCTTTGGAACGAGATAGCGAGGATTGCAGTGGGTATCAAACGAGTACAAAGTGAGCGAAGGCAATGAGCGAACACTTATGTGCGAACATGCAAATGGATACGCGGTGCCTTTGAGCTAGCTATTTGTCAAACTGTAAGTTTGTGTTCTCTCTAGGCTATAGTGAATTAGCCTACATGGGGTACAACACTTAAGGGTTAGTACTTGTACCCAACTCATTCATAGTTCATTCATTCCTACACAGTTGATTCTGACACTATTGCGAGGCTGGCATCGAGGTTCGGGCTAGTCCTGAAGTGTAGGCCGACTCGGCCAGGCCAGCGGTGCATGGTTTTGGTAAAACAGTACGCTTGAAGTTGGCGAATGCTCCGTTAGCAGTAATGGACGAACAACCGCTGCTGCCAGGGCCTACGTTATCAGGATAATTTATCCTGATTCTCCTGAATTCAGGATAGGTGTTTAGTGCCTCTCCTGTAAAAACAGCATAATGCAAATGTCTGTCCTGTAGTATCAGTATAATGGTAATTTTTCATACTGGGCCCTCAGGATAGCGCTGTAGGTACAGCCCTGATGAGTCAGGATAGTGTCGAGACTCGTCCTGACGCGAATACTGCATTTTCCCCGGGCCTAGTGTACCCAACCACCGACCTGGTACAGCGTAAATTACGCTCCGTGACTGTCGCACTGTTTATTTTTGCCTGGGTGGCGCAACACCACACCGCGCCCAGCCTGGAACCACAATAATGCTGTAACATCTTCCAATCACAGTGCGCCGCTGACTTAACACGCTTGAAAAACACGGCCAACAATGCAAGATGCTGGTGGCACGTGCTTCCCACCTAGCCATGAAACTTGTCCCTTATCCAACTTTGCAAGATGCTTGTGCCAGCGCATACGCCGCGACTCCTGTGGTCGACGCGCCATGTGTCTGGGGTTGGGAAGATTGTGATGTTCTGTTCTGTCTCTTCCTCCATCCCCTCCAGCCTGTTCTCGTCTCTCAACCAAACCCCAGCCAGAACGCCAACAATCTTTGTTTTTCCCCGTAACTTGCCTAGCTGCTCGACGCCGTATGTCTGCGTTATTTTTGCCGCAAATTACCGTCCATGGCTGACCCATCGCCGGCGGGCGATGGTGAAGCCCCCGCCATACCTAGCCCGCCCGGCCCGACCGTAGGGTTGATGGGCCTGGATTTATTGCGTAGTAGGCCTGTTCAGCCTCCACCACCGCCGAAACCAACACTAGCTGATTCCGCTGCCGCTGCCGCAGCTGATCCCCTCCCGTCGCCGTCCCAGCCACCCGTGCCTTCTCCCGTGACAGCTGCACCGGTCGTGGTTGACAACGTCCCCGTGCCACCGCCGATTCGCACGCAAGGGGAGTGCTCTAAGGCGACCTGCCAAATCTCAACGCCGCAAAGCTCTTCATGCCAAGAACCTGGCCGCGTGGGAAAGAGGCGAGAGACGCGGAGTGCAAAGAACACATGGAGAAGCTGGCGGTGATGTTCCATGCTCGCGTCAGAGATGATATACTGCCTGGTGAGATAACTGTTTTGTTCGCCCACAAACATCGCTGTGTATCTTGTACCCCTTAGAAGCGCGATTGTTGATGCTGCACTTGTATGTTCCCTTATCATCCCATCATACAGGTGTGAACAAGCGCGAAGTGCGGAAGGAGATGCGCACGTTTTTGTCTGTGCTGTCCGGGGCGCCAAAGGAGGAGCAACCCTTCCATGCGGGGTTACGGGCGATCCTGTCAACTGCGGACTGGCAGCGGACCTATCCGAACCTGGTGCGGCTGTGGGCGGCTGTGGCAGTGTTGCCGCTCAGCACGGTGGAGTGCGAGCGCGGATTCTCGCGCCAGAATGTCATCAAGAGCTGGCAGCGGACCAGCTTGTGCGATGCGAAGCTGGGCGACCTCATGACGCTGAGTCTACTGGAGTACGACATGGAGTGGAGTGAAGTTGTGGCACTGTGGCGCAGCACCAAAAAGAGGCGACCCACCAAGCGCAAGGCAGCCACGGTGAATGTATCGAAGAGGAGTGCCACAGGGTTCCGGGGGTCACTTGCAGAGAAGCGTGACCACCACGCAGAGGATGGGGGGGATGCAGACAGTGGGGGGGACAATGATAATGATGCTTTTCAAGATTTTGTGGAGGAGGAGGAGGAGGACGATGAATGTTGAAATGCATGTCTATTAAAAAAGTTTCCAAAGTGGCTCTTAATTAGAACAAATACAGCCTTTACCGTCGTGCACAGGATAAAATGAAATGTAGCACTGACGGGTCAGGATAATGTCATTTGTAGCACTGACCCTACAGCAAACCCATCCTTGCACAGTCCTGACATTTCAGGACAAAATAGGGTTTCTTAAAAACTGCCCTGAGTCCACAGGGTACCCTCAAACGAATCTGAGGCCCTGGCTGCTGCTGTACGCGGTGTTGAAAGACGCGGTTTTTTCTACCCCCCCCCCCCCCCCCCTTCAAGAAGCCCCCTCCGCTACGCGAGTGTGTGTATATCGCGAAAACCCCGGCTCCTCAGGTACACTTGCAGGGTAGGGTGGTTTTCGATGTTGGCCAGGGGAACCCAGCTATCTTCAGTTGGCGTGCGGTCCTTCCAGCAAACGAGGAGCTCAATCCTCCTGGTGCCTGTGGGTGTGGGGTGACGAATCCGATGGCTCAAAATTTTCTCTGGCTCAACAATCGGCTCCGATGCAGGGCGAGTCATGGATGGCGGGCGGTGGAGAGGCAGTCGGCTCGTGGTTGGGATGTACAGGCGAGGCAGGCTGACGTGGAATCATGGGCTGATGTACCAGTCTGTCGACAACAGTAAATGGGTGGTGACTAGGGTGATCATGTAGCTGATTTGGAACGGTCCACAGTAGCGCGGTTGAAGTTTCGGTACGACGGACATTCTTAAGCTCTGTGTGTCGAGCAGTACGTAGTCCGTCTGCGCGCGTTACACTCTGTCAGCCCGTGTGCATTACACCTTGCCTGCCCGCGCCCGTTGCGCTCTGCCCGTCGCGCACGTTGCGCCCTGCCCGTTGCGCCCGTTGCGCCCTGCCCGTCAGCGCCTGTTGCGCCCTGCCCGTTGCGCCTGCTGCGCCCTGCCCGTCCGGTCGCGCTGCGCCTGCCCTTTCCGCCGCCCGTGCCCGTCCTGTCGCGTCCCTCTCTTCTCGTCCCGTGCCGCACTTCTTGCCGCGCCCTATTCCGGCTTTCTAGGCGATTTTCCCCTGTCAATTCTCCACGCTTCCGCCATGGTGACGCCTAGAGTCCTCCGCTTTGACGCTGAGGGTAGACCGCTCGAGTTCTCTGTCTGGCTCTTGCGTGCGCAGCGTCTCCTAGAGAGTCAGGTTCATGCAGACGAGTCCTTGTGGGTGCACGCTTCAGGTGACCTCCGTGCGCCCCCTTGATCCGGATTCCTTAGGCACTGACGCCACCACTGCGGACAGGGATCGTACTGCACGTCAGCGTGCGGCCATGATAGCCTGGAAGTCGCACGACGCTGCGGCATGAATCGCCCTCAGCAGCCTCCTCCCTGAGTTTGAGGAGATCCACTTCACCCATGTTCGTACGGCCAGTGAGTTCATGACTGCGATCAAGGCCCGCTACGCTACTCCCACCGCTGTCTCTCTTGGTCGCCTGTTCCTCCCCTTCTTGTTTCTTGACCTCGCCTCGTTTCAGCGCTCTGCTGATTTGATCGCTCACCTGCGTTCACTGGATTCTAGCTACCGCGCTGCCTGCACTGACGCACAGCTTGCACTGCTCCCCCCCCCCACCATGGCGATTACAATCTATTTTATCGCCACTAGCATCCCTGACCACCTTGCCTCAGTTCGTGATGCGCTTCTTCTGAAACACCCTAGCGAGCTCACTATCGGCATCCTTGAGTCTGCCCTCAAGGACGTTGAAAGCAACCTCCGCTCGGTAGCCTCCGCCTCTGGTGCTGTGCCCCTGCCACTGTTCCACGGGTGCACTGTCCCTCAGCTGCCCACCTTTACTGCCTTCCTCGCCACTGCCGCTACTGACATGACCGCAGCTGCTGTTACGACTTCTACGCGGTCTAGAGCTCGGAGTGGCAGGAGGGGCGGCTAGGGTGCGGGCGGCAATGGAGGCGGCGGAGGTGGCGTTGCGGG